GGCCACTAAGTTTCAATCGCACTGTACGTGCACGCCTGCACTTGGTATTTTGTGGAAGAGCCACACTCAAGGGGCCAAAGAGCCGCATGTGGCTCGCGAGCTGCGGTTTGCCGACCCCTGGTCTAAGGACTCCTGGGGGTTCCTGAAACACTTTCCAGTGATCCATAGGTCAAGACCTTTTTCCTACTAAGAATAAGCTGTTATTTGCCTTTATCACTCCCATTCTTTGCGTGTAGAGTGGAGTTTTCCAAGGCTACCTGATGTGTGATATTGAAACAAACTAAGAAGAAAAGATGTAAGAATCAGCTGTTTTCTATGAATAGACATTAAAGAAATTTATAAGAATGTAAAACCATGATGTTCTTCTATTTTTAAATATAGTTATTATTCATAAAAATATGTTATTTGTATTTATTATTTTCAAATGACTAAATAAAATTTTATTGAATTAAAAAATGTTGTAATTTCTAATATAATAAGTATTTATATGTATAGCACACATAAACAAAAGTTGTCTGGAGTAGTCCTCAATAACTTTTTTTAACCCTCATCTAAGGATATTTTTCCATTGATTTTCAGACAGAGTGGAAGTGAATGGGGTCGGGAGGGAGAGAAACGTGAGAGACACATCGATTGGTTGTCTCCCCCACGTGCCTTGACCGGAGCTGGGGATCGAACCTGCAACCAAGGTATGTGCCCTTGACTGGGAATTAAACTCACGACCCTTCAGTCTGTGAGCTGATGCTCTAACCACTGAGCAAATCATCCAGGGCCTCAATAATTTTTAAAGGGCTACTGAGACCAAAAAGTATGAGAACCACAGATTTACATTTTTACATATTTAATAATTTGCTCAAATGGTTATTTAGTTTTATATAGACAAATATTGCCTAAAATCAAGATTGAATTGCACCAATTCTTAAAAATTGATTTTTTTCAAAACTTATATATTGATCATTTCTTTTTTCCTTGTTCTGAGAAACAGTTGACTCAACTACTAGCTAAGGTTCCACGAGTCTCCAAAGTGTTCCACAGTAATCTAGGACACCATTTGAAATTCCCATCCTCAGGTAATGAGCATGCTGCCTGGGAAGGATACCATGCCAAGTGCCTACTAATAAATGGGGAAGGATTTCTTTAACCGATTTCTCATTTAATAGAGAACAGGCTCTAAATGGAAAGACATATAGAATAGGTACATTTTGATAGCTAAGAAGCAAGTCAGGAGAGATTTTCAACTCCTGAGGCAGGTAGATCCCGAGGACAACAGATCAAAGAATACTGCTTAAGGGTACGGACCAGGTCTGTGTCCCAGCCACATGCAGCATTTACGCATTATTGGGGTCTGAGCCTGCTTCCCCACCTGCACTTAAATAAAAACAGTCTCCATTCATAGGGTAGTTGTAAGCAAACACTGGGTTGGATGTAAAGGGCTAGCACAGTGAACACAATGATTTGTTCGATTATTGGGGAGGGATGGTCCTCTGAGGAGAAATGGGGAAAATAGTTGTTTTGCTTACTTCACAATTTAACTCAATTACAGTTCTGTTGCCTTTGTTTCCAATCTTGTAGCCTTTTCTGCAGCTCTGCTAAAGAAATTCTTCAGGATTCCTTAATTTGGAAGTTCTCTCCTATCATAATAAAAATATTTTGGTTCTGTTTCCATAGCCAGAGGATCCCTCTCCATCCTCACGTCTCATAGCAACAACAGAGAAAAACATATTAGTAGCTTAGGGCCTGGCCAGCGTGGCTCAGTGGATGAGCGTCGACCTGTGAGCCAGGAGGTCACAGTTCGATTCCCAGTCGGGGCACATGCCTGGGTGGTGGGCAGGGACTAAGCGCTCCAATACATTAGTTTGCAAAGAGAACACTTGAAAGAACCATACAGTAGAGGAAATGATGAGGTTTCTAAACTGAAAAAAGTTTCAAGGTCAGGAAATGAGGACATTTTTACCAGAAGCCTAAAACCTAAATGCAGTTCAAAAGGAACAATTCTCAACTCACTGTGGTCAGTTTTCTTTTCACGGACTCCTTTTCCCTTAGTCAAACGGTACCGACGAGGTGACAGAGGGCACAGTACAACTCAGATTTCTATGAAGTGTGTGTGTGTGT